GGCATCTAACTTTTCTAAGTGATTTTTAACTTGTTCTTTTTTTATTTAAAAATAAAAATAACATAGCTAAACTGACCTGACCCTCAGAATAGATACCACTAGATCAATAGAAGAATTCTTCCATCAACCTAGAGGCCGCTTCAAGGGGGTAGATTTGCTACAGCAAAGGAAAAATGTGCTACCGTTTTCTGTCACTGAAGCAAGCATCTAAATTATGGTGCTACAGCAGCACTGCAGCTGTATAGCTTGTGGTGTAGACATAGCCTGCGATGTCCACTGACAATTCAGAGCACTAACTATAGACCGAGGTGGGCAAACTACGGCCCGCAGGCCACGTCCAGCCCGCAGGACCGTCCTGCCCGGCCCCCGAGCTCCTGGCCCGGGATGCTAGCTCCCGGCCCCTCCCCTGCTGTCCCCCCTCCCCCGCAGCCTCAGCTCGCTCGCTCCGCTGCCGGCACAATGCTCTGGGCAGTGGGGCTGTGAGCTCCTGGGGCAGCGCAGCTGCAGAGCCCAGCCTGACCCAGTGCTCTGTGCTGCGTGGTGGCGGTGGCAGTGTGGCCCGGCTCCAGCCAGCTGCGCCGCCAGCCACCGGTGCTTCAGGCAGCGCGGTATGGGGGGGTTGGATAGAAAGCAGGGGAGTTCAGGGTGGTGGTCAAGGGGCGGGGGTGTGGATAGGTTGTAGGGAGGGAACAGGGGGTTGAATGGGGGCAGGGGTCCTGCGGGGGGAGGGGCAGTCAGGAAGGAGAAGAGGGTTGGATGAGGGGGTGGGGGGCAGTGAAGGGCAGGGGTTTTGGGGGCAGTCAGGGGACAGGGAGAAGGGGTGGTTGGATGGGGCAGGGGTCCCGGGGGGGCCATCAGGAATGAGAGGAGGGGTTGGATGGGGTGGCGGGGGTCCAGGGACAGGGAGCGGGGGTGTGTGGATGGGGCAGAGGTTCCACGGGGGCCGTCAGGGAACAGGGGGGATTGGATGGGGAAGGAGTCCCGGGGGGGGGCGCAGATAGGAGGTGGGGGCCAGGCCACGACCCCCTTCCCTAACTGGCCATCCATACAATTTACAAAACCCAATGTGGCCCTCAGGCCAAAAAGTTTGCCCACCCCTCCTATAGACTGTTGAACTAGCCTGACAGTTTGACTGTAAGCCAGTTAAATATTCATAAAGCAAAATATAAGGAAGGAGAAGTAGTATTTCAGTCAGAAATGCTTCACTTTAACTACTGCCATTTAAGAACATGAACGGAGCTACTGACTAATTTTTGCTGAACACCGTACATTCAAGAGCTTACTGTTCAGGACCTAGAAAACATGTAGTGGAATCTTTAAAATGTGCACAAATCTTTTAGGAGTGTGCATAGTAACAAAAATAAATTAATTGGACCTCTGGATTAAAAACAACAACAAAAAACAGATCTAAAGTTACCATTGCTACAGCTGGAAACCAGTATTTCATTTTCTATTTATGTGCAGTGACTGGGATTGTTAACTAACTCAGTCATTCAAAAATCATGCCACCTTACTTGGTACAGCTGGTCAAAAATAACTTTACTGAAAAACTAAATAATGCTTCCCAATCAAAAAGCCCGCAAATCTCATGGCAGATTTATGTTAATAATCAGTGCATTGCTGAGGACAGATTTAAACATACTTGAGAAAAATAAAAACTTATAGATCTATTATTCAATTTTTCCATGCTTCCTTAAAACTAGAACACTATTAATTCTAACCTAGTTCTTTAAAAAACAAAACCCCCAATACTAATGCAATGTGTGTTTTACAATTTTCCTTATGATAAGCAATTTTCATTTCCTTGTTCCATTCCTTTCCACCCAATTGTTCTCTAATTTACACTGCTCAGCTATGTATTATGGTCACTTACTGGTCAACCCATTTAAACAGCAGACAAAAAAGCAACATTCAAATTTAGGTTGCAGTTATCCGTTTTAGAGAAAGGGAATCAGTGATCTCAGTTTACTAGTGTGAATTTAGCATGGACTCTCGTGCAGCCTTTTCAAAGACAGGAATTGAAGGAAAACGTTAATTTAGCTAAACTGGCTCTTACAATCAAGTAAGCTTTGTATGGTGTTAAAGAGTTATTGGTTTATGTGTTATCAAGTATTCGTCAAACGTCATTAAAACTATCCTAAACATTTAAAATAAAATATAACTTCAAACATTCTTATTTTTCAGGAACTGTGAAGAATACTTGTAACCTCACCTATTATGGCCCAATAAAGTCACAGCCCTATAACCCTGCCACTTTTCGAGGCTGTACTCCGCAAGGGCTTTAATTAAATTCTGCATCAAGGATTATTTAAATACTGGGTAAATTATAAGAAGCATGGTATATAAAAAGTTATTTTAAATATAATTATATTTGAACTCCACTGTAATAACTCTGAGCACTCTAATGTAAGGTAGACAGGATTAAAATGACACCTAAGACAGAAAGGACAGGTTTCTTTAGCTGAGAGGTTTGATGATTTCCTGTAGATAATTGGTGTTCCTGGAGTTCTGTTCTCAACTCCAAATAACTGACGTTCTTTAAGTAACAATGGTTTGTAATTATTTTTCTTCTTCTCAAAACAGAATATTCTAGGCTTAATTCAGCACATTATACAGCACATTATGGCCTGCTGTAGCAAAAGCCCCGAAAGGCAGCTGATACTTCCTTTCTACAGGAAAGGCTTGCAATGCCACAGAGCCCACCATTTCTCTAAACAGAGATTAGCTGTGATGAATTGTGAGGATACTCAAGGAAGCTCATTAAAATGAACTTTCCTGTCTCCCCTTTTTTGCTCTTCATCCCCCAAAACACATAAGGCCATATAACCTGTAGGAATTACTGCTGCTGTACAGCTGACATGACATCATCTTCACCCCTGCTGTACTTACCAAGCTAGGGGCTGTATAGCTCCTGGCACAATCTATGGTATGCATCTGTGTGACGGGGTGTGCACTGGGCAAGAGAGGGTTAACCCCATACTATGGGTGGCAGAATTTCCCCCCCCTCAGACCATGCTGGGAATGCTCCATCTGCTGCCTCATAATAAAAGGGAGCAGCCCAGCTCATTCTAAGCTGACCACCCAGGAGAGAAGATGCTTGGTGGAGGCTCCAGGCCAGGAGCCGTTACAGCCTCTGACTGTGAGAGCCAGAGAACCCTGGGGCCAGATTGGAGACCTGCTACCTTCAGTCAACTGCCGGGAGTCAGACTTCCAGGGTGCTACCTCCGCCAGGGAACCCAGGGACACCAACAATGTATGGACTGCTACCTCAGGAAACATGGTAGGAAGTGGCCCAGGGAGGCGGGGCGGAGAGAGTGGTATCTCCCACCCAAGCAAGGTCAGCGTGTTGCAGTAGGATTCCCTGCTGGCTGGGTGGCGACCACACCTGTCTCCAAGAGGGCCCTGGGCTGGGACCCAGTGGAGAGGGAGGGTCCTGGTCCCCCTACCCCAGCCACCACCCACCCCTAGGTGACAGCCTACTTCCCTGAATCCAGCCACTAGGCCACGCAGCCCAGAACATAAGGGCAGCTGTGTTGACTCTGGCCATTAGGCTGCCCAGCCCTGTACCCGAAGGCCGCCATATTGACTCCAACCCCTGGGCCATGCTGCTTTCAGCCTGGGGACAGGCTGGTAGACTAACTGCGGTGGTATCACAACCCCAACCCACCCCCAAAGGAGGACGGGGGTGCATATCATGTGACAATTTGAAAGAACAGAAGAGACCAATCAAATTAATTTACATAATCATTCTACAACTCTTACTGTTCATACATTCAGTTAATGACATGCTGACAAGTCATCCACCATACACTCTCCAACAACCACAAGACATACTTATTAACTCTTTCAATATGGGCACTGCTCAGCTAGTAACTGAACATATAAACTGGAAGGTAACAGAATATTTAGTAGATTACCCTAATTGGTCATTTCCAAGATTTTTAACACTTAAAATATGTTTCTGTTCTAATATATTTTGTATACATGACTTACAGTAATCTCAGCTGTAAGTTAATGAAGTTGGGGTTTTGGGGGGGGTGGGAAGAGGAGTGTTTTCTTACTAGGAATGCTGCACTAAAGGAAATTACAGTTCAAGAAGAGAAAATGATTGCAAATGGTAGAATACTGCTAGTTGGAACATCACTACAAGACAGGTTTTACATACACTGTAGCCGTTTCTGCATTAGGATTTTTTGCTAAACTGTTGCCATCAGTGCTTCAGCTCCACTAGTGGAGGGGCTAGTGTAGCCAGCTTAACAGGTGGTCAACAATACTTTGTTCACACTAATGCTTCCATCAGAGCTGAACTGGTCATAGCACCAGTAGAAAACGTTTAGGAAAAGCATCCTGTTTTAGACAAGGTTACAATTATTACTCCTGGGGGAATTCTGCACACAATATTTTAAAATCCTGCAAAATTCTGCATATTTTATTTTTCAAAATAACACAATATAATCACGCTCTTGCTAACAGCCCAGGGCAGCTGGGGCTCCCGCTGACAACTGTGTGTGTGATTTCACCATGTCTGGTTGCGGTAAGGGTGGTGAAGGCTTGGGAAAGGGAGGTGCCAAGCGCCATCGTAAAGTGCTTCGGGATAACATCCAGGGTATAACCAAGTCAGCTATTCGTCACTTGGCTCGAAGCGGGTGGGTGAAGCGTATTTCGGGGTTGATTTACAAAGAGACCTGTGGAGTGCTGAAGATGTTTGTCAAGGCTCCTTCCCCACTCTGAACTTTAGGGTACAGATGTGGGGGCCTGCATGAAAACTTCTAAGCTTAACTACTAGCTTAGATCTGGTCTGCTGCCACCACTCCCAATGTGCTAATTCCCTTCCCTGGGTAGCCTTCAGAGACTCTTCACCAATTCCCTGGTGAATACAGATCCAAACCCCTTGGATCTTAAAACAAGGAAAAATCAATCAGGTTCTTAAAAAGAAGGCTTTAAAGAAAAAGGTAAAAATCATCTCTGTAAAATCAGGATGGAAAATAACTTTACAGGGTAATCAAACTTAAAGAACCCCCTCTAGCCTTAGGTTCAAAGTTACAGCAAACAGAGGTAAACACCCTAGTAAAAGGAACATTTACAAGTTGAGAAAACAAAGATAAAACTAACACCCCTTGCCTGGCTCTTTACTTACAAGTTTGAAATATGAGAGACTTGTTCAGAAAGATTTGGAGAGCATGGATTGATGTCTGGTCCCTCTCAGTCCCAAGAGCGAACAACCACCAAAAACAAAGAGCACAAACAAAAACCTTCCCCCCCACCAAGATTTGAAAGTATCTTGTCCCCTTATTGGTCCTTTGGGTCAGGTGTCAGCCAGGTTACCTGAGCTTCTTAACCCTTTACAGGTAAAAGGATTTTGGAGTCTCTGGCCAGGAGGGATTTTATAGTATTGTACACAGGAGGGCTGTTACCCTTGCCTTTATAGTTATGACAGTGTTCTTGGAGAATGTGATCGGTGATGCTGTCACTTACACTGAACATACCAAGCGAAAGACTGTAACGGCTATGGATGTGGTTTATGCTCTGAAGCGCCAGGGTCGTACTCTCTATGGTTTTGGTGGCTAAACAAGTCACTAAAGTCAACAGGACAACTGTCCAACCTAAGTACCAATAACGCAGGGTCCTGATGAACAAGTAGTAAGTGATCATGTAATTAAGACCAGTATCATATTACGTAAGTACAAGGAGTCGACTTTAAGGTTGCACAGACACATTCTGGTAATGGTAGGGTTTATAAAGTATATAAGATATTAGAGGAGGATAGTCAATGTCTCTTGTCTAATACTGCTATAACTGAAGAAACCTATCTGGTGTCATCCTGTAATTACAGGTTCAGCAGAAACAGCTATTAACTAATGTAAGATCACATTACATACTAGAGGTGAAATTCTGGTAATGAGTGCACAGCCCAAGCGATCAAACCTTGTGCTCAAAGTAAAACAAGTGAGGCTGAGCAATGCAACCCTCAGTTCCAAATTAGAGTACTTTGTGCATACCCAATGAGCAGCTGCTATTAAGGGACAGGGGTGCCGGGCTGTGTACTTTATTTTTTGAGCAATGGATTTCTGGCTAAAAGCCCCTCCTGCAACACTTCTGTTGACAGACCTGCCAGGAAACTTGGCTATTCCACACACAAGGAATGCAGCATTCCCCAGGCATGGCCTGGCAGAAGTGTGCCATTTCTGATACCTTTTGGGCCTCACACAAGTGAAAGACGGGAAGAGGGTTTCACCCTAAGAAATGTTTTCATAACAGATGGTTTCTTGGACTTACAAATTAGAATTAAATCGAGGTGACGGAGGTGTTTAATGTTGTGGATTTTCACTGTTTGTTTATTAGGCAATTTATTGCTCCTACTTTCAAAGCAAAAATCATATTTTAAGTTGACACCTTCCAAAGGGCCCATGCTCCCAGTGAGCCCCAACAAGGAAGAGGGAAGGGGATTTTTTAGGGCCCTTCAATAATCAATTACAAGTTTGGGGTATTTTGGAGATTTCTTTGTTTTGTTTTTGTCAAACACACATGTTTTGTTTTTGTCAAACACACATGTTTTGTTTCAATGGGATTTTACCCTAAAATCAGAATTATGTACCTAATAATTCCCAAAGTTTTAATTTATACACTAAACTTGATTTTTTTCCAGGGGAAGATAGCCAGGTTTTCCTCTGATCTTTATATTAACAAAGATAATAGATAGTATTTCCTGTATGGAAGACTTCACATACAGAAACTATGAACCACTTATTGAATGGCTTCTATTTTAAAGTGATACAATATGATTTTTCATTTCTGTTTTTCACACTGAAGAAAAATAAACAGAACCACAATTAAATACAGAGGATAAGGGCATTTTGTTTTTTTAAACTTTTATATACAAACCAAGGTTACAAAAAAAAAAAAAAAAAACACAGTTTTAAGGGTGTTTTTTGTTGTCATTGTTTGGGTTTTTACATGTGGGTTCAGTTAGATACAGGTGCATTCAATATAGTGTTTGCTATTTTCAGAGTGGATTACTGTAGTGTTTATCCCCACTATAAAGTTACCTTTCATCAAATTGCAGATATATCCAAAACTGCTATGTTTCCTGTAACATAAAAAGTAATTTTCTTCAAGAAATACCCATGAAAACACAACTTTGTTACTTTAAATCAATTATTTTCTTTGTTTAATGCACACGCTTGACTTTTATGAAACAACAACCCAGTCTGCACGCATATTCATACAAGTAATGAATTCAATCACACTATGGTCATACATAAAGCCCCATCTAAACTATGAGCCTTATACTTTGTTTAGTAATTTACTCTTGCTTAAAATGGATATATAAACTTCACCAAAAATCAAGCACTTTGTACAGCCAGCTGTAAATGGCTACAACACGAGGTGCAAGACTATGGCAAATCAGGTCATACAACTATAAAGAAGTTACGGTTAACACTTTTTTAAGGCCTTGTCTACCCTGCAAAGTTTTGGTGGCAAAAGGCAGCTGTTGGCGGCAAAACAACGGAGGCGTACACACTGCAATGCCACTTTTGGCGACAATACGAAACCATCTTGACGAAAGACATAGGACTTTTTCCACAAAATTTTTTTTTTGACAGAGTGCCAGTGTAGACACCATGCTTGATGTTATCACTTTAATTGGCCTTCAGAAGGTGTCCCACAATGCTCCTCTTGACCACTCTTGTCAGCAGTTCCAACTCCACTACCCTGCAGCCAGGTAAACAACCATCACCCTTCTCCCTTTAAAGCCCTGGGAATTATTGAAATTCCACTTCCTGTTTGCTTGCCGTGGAGAACTCACATCGCATCTTCTCAGCTGACAGTGGTGGCTCCACCCAGCAGACACTCTCCCACTTGCACCACTGCAGAGCTGCTAGGTCTGCTTGGTATTTGGGGAGAGGAGGCTGTGCAGTTCCAGCTGCGCTCCAGCCATAGGAATTTCTATACGTACAGGCAGGTTTTTCGAGGTTTGTGCGAAAAGGGCTATGACCGGGACATGGTGCAGTGCAGAGTAAAGATCAAGGAGCTGAGGTACACATACCAGAAGGCAAGGGAGGCAAATCACTGCTCCAGTGCAGCGCTGAAGACATGCCATTTCTATAAGGAGTTGGAGCTATCCTCAGCAGTAACCTCACCTCCACCACCAAGAGCCCCATAGATACTTTGGCAGGGCTGGAGTTGGCAGAAAGTGGACCTAACCCAGAGGACGAAATCACTGATAAAGAGGTGGAGGTAGATGACTATGTGGAGCCCACAGCGGGGTTGCCTGGTGGTGTGCCCAGTCAGTAGCTGTTCTCCACTCCAGTGGTGTCTAGCCAGTCACGGCAGTCGCACTCCAGTGAGCAAGAAGCAGGAGAGGAGATCCTGGTAAGTGGTTTTGCTTTGTGTAGTGCAGAGGTGAGCTAAGGACATAGAAATGTACATGGCTGGCTGTGTTTCTGTGTGCCGGACATTTCCCTGTGCAGCTAACTAGTATGGCAGAACAGGGTGTTGATGCATACCAAGATTTCATGGGAATCCTCCAGAGAGATCTCTAGGAAACTTTTTCCTGGAGGTATTCAGCAATCCTCTGCCAAAGATTCTTTGGCAGAGCTAATTTGTTCCTTCCCTCATTGAACGAAACTTTCTCACGCCATCCTGTAATCACTTGTGCAGGGACCAAAGCAGCACACAGGCAAGCAGTATAGGGACTGGGTCCAAAGCCACCAGCATGCAGTAGATGCACCCTTGCTTCCTCTCAGGAGTGAGGTATCTGCTACAATGACCCCTGCCTATGGAAAAGGGTGGGAAAATTTAGAATATTGTCCCAAGTTGACTGTACCACAACCTGTTCATATTGCTTTTCTCCTCATGTAGAATGCCTCACGCCCTGGGATAAACTCACCATGCTTGGGGTTTCGCCAACATGTGTGCTTGTCAAGGGTCAGTGAAAAAGTGATTGGTATGTTACTAGAGGCATATTTTACTATACTGTTTCAATGCTGTGCGTGTACTTATCAGTCATGCTTCTGTGTTGTTCCTTGTGCTTCTGCAGATGTGGCCTTCAGAGGCATCCCCTACACACCAGTGGAGCGCCTCTGTCATATAAGAAAGCACCTGAGATGGAACAAGGAGGGTATGTTCCAGGAGCTGCTGCAATATTCAGATGCAGAAAAGAGGGAGTGTGTGCAGTGGAGGGAAACCGAAAGGCAGGACAGAAAAGAAAATGAGGCCTTCATTAAGGACGCTACTGAGAAGATAATTAAAGTTATAGAGGAGCAAACTAAGATGCTGAAGTCAATCACAGCACTCCAGACTAAGCAGATGAGCCCTCCCCTTCAGCACATTTAGAACTCTTTCCCACACCCTCCCTTGCATTCCTTACCGCTTTCCGGGACTTCTCGCTTTCCTGTTCACTCCACCCCGATGGACACTTTTTCAAATGACAGCTAGAGTTACTCCCCAGCTACCCTCCTCTCCAATCGAGAGAGAGAGAGATGGTGTTGTTTTCTGTGCAATAAAAGTAAATCTTTATTTGTGTCCTGCAAATTGGGATAGCTGGTGGCAACAACACATACACAAGCAGTTTAATAATTTGCTTACATGGAATCCTAGGCCACAAAAATCACAAGTGCCTCCTAGCAAAACTTGATTTCATTAAGCATTGCAGTCCCGAGCATAGTAATATACATTACCGGTTCTCTTTTTCAAAGTGTTGCCTCAAAGCCTCCCTGATTCGAATTGCCTCCCGTTGTGCCCCTCTAATAGCCCTGGTATCTGGTTGCTCAAAATCTGCAGCCAGGCAGTCTGCCTCAGCAGTCCACCCCTGAGCAAACTTTTCACACTTACCTTCACAAATATCGTGCAATGTACAGCACGCAGCTAAGACCATGGGAATATTATCCTCATTGAGGTCTACCCTGCCATAAAGGCATCACCAGCATGCCTTTAATCTGCCAAACGCACATTCCACGGTCATCCTGCACCTACTCAGCCTGTTGTAGAAGCGCTCCTTACTGCTGTCCAGGTTTCCCATGTAAGTTACATGAGCCATGGCATTAAGGGGTATGCCCAGGATAACTATGGGCATTTCAACATCCCCCACTGTAATCTTCTGGTCTGGAAAAATAGTCCCTGCTTGTAGCTTTCTGTACAGGTTGGTGTTCCTAAAAATACGTGCATCATGCACCTTTCCGAACCACCCCACGTTGATGTCAATGAAACGCTTGCGGTTATCCACAAGTGCCTGCAACACCATGGAGAAGTACCTCTTCCTATTGATATACTCCGTCACAAGATGGTCCAGTGCCAAAATTTAAATAAGTGTGCCATCTATCGCCTCTCCACAGTCAGAGAAGCCCATTTCTGCAAAGCCATCCACTATTTCACGCACATTGCGAAGAGTCACAGTCCTTCATAGCAGAATGCAAGTAACGGCTCTGCACACTTGTGTTAACACAGCCCCAACAGTCGACTTCCCGACTCCAAACTGATGCACAACCGACCGGTAGCAGTCTGGATTTGCCAGCTCCCACACTGCAATCACCACGCACATCTACACCAAGAAAAGCAGCTCTCATTTG